GAAGTAGACGAAATGGAATTCAGGCGCAATGAAGCGGACGAATGGAATTCGGACGAAATGAAGTGGAATCGCCGCCAGGGGGGGCGGGGCTTGACAGCGCCCGGATCTCCGACGACGTCGCGTTTTTCGACCCCAGCGGGATTTTCCTTTGCCTCGGCCTCGGGGGGGCCCGTGATCGGCCCCAGGACGACGGAAAATTGGCCTGGGGCGAGAAGCTACCCCAGGGGGAAGCGGTCGGGTCATCTGGGGCCGCGGGCAGGGCGAAGCAGGTCGGCGGATGTCTGGGAGGAGGCCGGAGGAGGGCCGGTCGAGGCAACGGCGGCCCTCCTGGGCGTTTCTCGGCTCTCTCTGTGGGCCTCTCTGGCGGCCCCTCGTCGCCACGGCGGGTTCCGCCGCGTGGGCCAGGATGAACCCCAGGGGAGGTAGGCCAGGCCAGGGTCCGATGCTGGAACTCTGGGCCGGGCGGGATCCGTTTTCTCAGACTGGCCAGAAGCAGGATCAGGAGGAGGAGGAGGAGGAACTGGAGGAGGAGGCGGAGGAGGAAGAGGAGGAGGAGGAGGAGGAGGGGGAGGAGGAGGAGGAGGAGGAGGAGGAGGAGGAGGAGGAGGGGGAGACCAGACGAGAGGAGGGGATTTCTCGGACAGTAGGGGTACGAAATCTGCACAGGGGGGTTGGCCCATCGAAGGCAGGAGGAGGCTCATTCGAGTTTCGAGGATCGAGGTTCGAGGATTCGCTGGTGCACAGGGGGGCCGATTGAAAGCAGGAGGATCGAGTTTCGATGTTCGGGGGTCGAGTCGAGGTTTGAGGTTCAAGGTTGCCTGGCCTTTCTTTCCCAGTATTCGGTGCAATCGAGATGGGTACGGACAGAGCGGGGACGAAGACTGGCAGCAGTTCTAGTCTCTCGGTGTCGCCGCGGACGTTGTCCACTTGAGGCAGAACGTCGCCTTCCCAACAGCGGCCGCTGTCTAATAAGGACAACGTTTGTTGGGTTTCGATTTGTCTGTCCGATTATGTCCCTGCCTCTGCCTGCGTCTCGGTTGCATTCACCTCGCGGACGTGGGGGGCGCGAGTAGGTGTGGGGGTGAAGGGGGGAAGGCGTTCCATTGGCGGAGTCGGAGGAGGACAACTGTAAAAGGTGCACCTCGTTTCTCCCACTCACCCTCTTGAGAAAGGGGGCAGCTGTCAGGAATCCAGGACTCCTCTCTCCCCATTTCTCCGCTGAGAGGAGGACTAGGGAGTGAGGGAGGGAGGATGCAGGAGGCGGGGCTGTACATACATGCTCGATCCCCTCTCTGATGGGGATTTAACCAGCGGCTGGGTGGTGGTGGTTGACCTTCCGTCGGAGCTTGCCCATCCCCCCCTCCCTCCTCCTCCTCCTCCTCCTCCTCCTCTTCCTCCTCCTCCTCCTCCTCCGCCTCCCCCTCCCCCTCCTCCTCCTCCTCCTCCTCCTCCGCCTCCGCCTCCGCCTCCGCCTCCTTCTCCTCCTCATCCCCTCCTCCTCCTCCACCTCCTCCTCCGCCTCCTCCTCCTAGCCTCCGTCCTCCTCCATCTTCCACCCTCCATCCTCCCCCCCTCTTGCGCTTCCTCCAACCCCCCCTTCACCCGCTCCGACAGCACGTGCCCAACCCTCTCCGCGGATCCACGGGTGGCGATAAGTATCCCATCAAGGGCACGGGTGCAACGGGGGGGAGGTCACGTGCTGTCGGAACGGGTGAAGGGGGGTTTGGAGATAGCGGTGGAGGGAGGGGGGATGGGCAAGCTCCGTCGTAAGGTCAATCCTCTCCCTTTGTAAATTTTAAATACCCCATCCAGAGCACGGGTGCAAACGGGGGGAGGGTGGTCTCTGAGGTTCACGTGGTTGTGGGACTGGCCGGCGACTTCCAGGACGACGTGGCCCCGGGGGCCTTGGGGCAGAACCTCACCTCGAGCAACTGCGTGCTGCCGGGGGCCACCAGCAGCTCCAGGCTTCTAGAGTTTGCCGAGTGGTGCAACACCAGCTCCCCGGAAGCCCTGGGCAGGGCTGCGTTCCTCTCCGAGCTGGCGGCCATGCAGGCGGGCCTCGACGAGCTGGACCTGCCGGACGTCGGAGAGGGAAAAGCGGAATGAAGCAGATGTTTCGGAGGTCCGCGCGGAGCTCCGCCAGCGCACGCATGTGTTGTTTTTCCTTCCTCCAGGACAGGGCGCTGGCCGCAGACCTGCTGGCCGCCGCGTTCGTGGAGCCGCCGCAGATCTTGGGCCTCCCCGACGGGGCGCTGAAGGCCGAGCTGCAGGCCTGGCAGGCCGTCTGCAAGGCTCGGGCGACGCCCACCGCGTTGCGTACACCTGGCCGGGCTCGGCGCACGCCCCTCGTGCTTGCTTCGGCGGCGCGCCCATGGGGGGGAAGGCAGAGGGGGCGGGCCCTCTCAGAAGGCTCAGAAGGCTCAGAAGGCCTCTGGCCTTGCTTCGGCCGAGAAGATGCCTGCAAGCTTTTGTTTGAAGTCGCGAGGGGGGGCTTCTCAGAGGACCAGAGGGCTTCTGAGAAGCCCCGCCGCCTTCTGAGCAAGTCTGCCCTTGCGATGCTCTGTTTGTTTGGGGGGACAATCCGCGGCCCCAGAGCTCCCAACCACTCCTTCGAGCCGACTCGGTTTCAGGACATTATCTTGTATGTGTGTGTGTGTGTGGTTGTAGGTGTGTGTATATGCATGTATGCATGCATGCATGCATGCATGTATGTATGTATGTATGTATGTATGTAAGTATGTATGCATGTTTGTTTGTTTGTACATATGTATGTATATATGCATGTATGCATGTATGCATGTATGCATGCATGCATGTATGCATGTATGCATGTATGCATGTATTCATGTATGTATGTATGTATGTATGTATGTATGTATGTATGTATGTCTGCGCGCATGTATATACGTACACACGTATACACGTATGTATGTGTGTATGCATGTGTGCATGTATGTTTGTATATATGTATGCATGCATGCATGCAGGCATGCATGTATGTATGCATGCATGCATGTATGTATGTGTGTGTATGCATGTATGTATGTATGCTTGTCCGTATGTCTGCCCGTCTTGCTGTCGGCCTGTCTTTCTGTCCGTATGTCCGTCTTATGTCTGTCTGTCTGCCTGCCTGCCTGTCTGTCTGTCTGTCTTTATGTATGTACGTGTACATACATGTGTATATTTACGGACAAAGAGAGGAAGAGAGACAGAGAGAGAGAGAACACGATAGAGAGAGAGAGAGAGAGACACAGGAAGAGAGAGAGAGAGAGAGAGAGCTCAACCACTCCCCCTTTCCGTTTCCTCTTTTGCGCGTGCGCGTGGAGGGTGTGAGGGTAGCCGTTAATTCTTTCCCATGGCCCACTCTGTGGAAGATTCCATGGGATTAATTTGTGGTGGTCTGGCAAAAATATGTCGCTTTGTGTGTGACACGCATGCAAATCCGGTTGTATGGTTTTGCAAACATTTTTGTTGGCGGACCGTCTGCGCATACATTCTCACTGTGTGGACGACACATGCAATCCTTTTGTGGGGCTTTGCACTCGGATTTCTTTCGTTGAGGATTTCCATAGTGATTCCTACCGTGCGTGCTACAAATCGAATCCTGTTGTGCGGCTTTCCAGACGAATTTCAGTGGGCGATTTTCAGGTTGATTCCTGCTGTGAGGCATTCCCAAATTGATCTCAGCTGCGCGGGTAGTCGAAACGATGTGCGGAACCACACGCCACGTAACAGACCACCAGACAACAAAGCAAACGAGGTGACAAAAACACGGGGACGTCCTGGAACCGCATCGCCCCCCCGAGGGCAGCTTTGCGCTCCAGGGTCCGTTCCCGGTCGCCCCGCGGCTCGAGGGTCGGCCCTCCCCCAGGGGGGGGGGGGGGGGCGCTGTTCCCAGGCTCGAGGCGGCGCCTTCCTCCGTTTTGGCCGCGAGCCCTCTTTGGGCTTTCTCTCCCCTCTTCCCCCCGGAGAAAGGGCGCTCGCCCAGTGGCGTTGTGGAGGACGATCAATGGAGAGGAAGCGTGCTGCCAAATAATTTCCAGATGTTAAAGGATGTTTCAAACATTTTCGATATGTAAAACACATGTTTCAAACATGTTTAGAACATGTTTTTTTCTCACTTGTTTACCACATCTTTAATTCAATGATCGGATTGTTAGAGTGTCCATTGTCGTGGCATCCACAACAGGAGCGGTTCGCTGCGGGGGGGCCCCAGAGAACCGAAATCGAGCCAAAATTGCCCAGACCCCGAGATCCGACGTTGCGAAAGAGTTGGCAACATGGCGAAGAATCACGACTGGACCCCTGGACCCCATCTTCCTGCGTAGTTGTTCGAGCCGGGTCGATCTGTGATGGTCCTGGGGCCCGAAACTTGGCGAAAACTCCGGGCGTGAGGAAAGTGGCAACGCCCAGATCTCAGCCCAGACATGCGATGTCATCATTTTTGTCGATATGGAGTCCCCAGAAGTCATGATTCTTTCCCCAGGGCCGGCCTTTCATCCCGAGTTGTTTTTTGGAGGTCCCGAGGCCCAGCGAGAGCTCCCAGAGGCCGAAAACTGTCAAAAACCTCCCGTCGTGTTTTTTCCAGGACGCGAGCATGTCTGAGAAAATTGCAACGAAACGATCTGAGGACATTGAGTGAATCGGGCGCTGCTTCGGAGGGGCGATACATGGCGGGGGGGAGACACGTGGAGCTTTCGTGCCCCTTTTGGAACCCGTGGGGCCCCTGTAGGGCCAGTCTTCGCCCTGCATCGATCGCCCCCCCATGAAGCAGCGCCCGAAAAAACCGTTCCGTCGGAGATCTGGGTGCGCCGAGCCGGCCGCGGCGTACGGCGCCGGCGCCGCCCCAGCGGAAGGCCTGCCGGCCCGTCGGCAGACCAGCGCAGTACATCTCGTACAGGTCAGGGGCAGCGTTAGGGGGGGGGTCGGCTCCGGGGATGGGGGGGAGGGTGCTCAGGAGGGACGAAAGGCTTCGAGGTTTTAGGCTTTTCGTCGGTCCGCGAAGGCTTTCCAGCCTCTGGATGCCTTCGGCGGTTGCGCCTCGCCGGGGGCGTCCTGCGGGTGCCTGGATTGTCCTGAACTGCCGCTGGAGGCCCGAGTCATGGCTCGAAAATCACCAGGGGGGACGCACCGACCCCCATCGCTCATTGATCGCCGATCGGAGGCCTGATAGCCCATTCCGCCCAGGATCGTTCGGCCTCGCCATCGAGAGCCTATCGCCGGTCTGTCGGCGATGCATCGCCGAGTCCAGCTCGACGTTCTTGTTGCTTTGTTTTTGCCCGAGCCAGCCCCCCCTGCAGTCAGGAACTTTGGCCTATAGCTTGTCGCGGAGCCCGTTCTGGCCCACCACGCGTCGGCGCGACACGCTGACCACGTCCCAGTCCTCGGGCGTCCACGTTCCGAGCCTTTCCCGGCCTCCCGCCGCGCGGAGCGGGGCGGCACGCTCCCTGCTCGCAGGGCCCGCCGTGTCGCCGGGGCCGCCGCCGCGACAGGCTGAGCCACAGTTCCCGACCGCAGCGTCGCCCCTCGGCAGGGACCTGCCCACCAGCGCGGGCGAGCTGCAGCGGCGCACGGACGCGGCCGTGGTGCTGCTGCAGACGGCGGCGCTCCAGAGCGCCATCGCCGTGGGGCGCGCCATCGGGGCCTGGAGGCCTCGGGAGCGGCGAACACGTTCCCAGATCTCCGACGGTATTCAGTCTGGGCGTGCTTCCTCGTTTTCGGCTTCCGAGGCGCGTTCTCGGGCCCGGGGACCCTCCATTATCGTTCCGGGGCACCAAGCTACCCCCAGGGGAGGATGGCGTCCGGGACCTCTGGGGCCGCGCATCGAGCAGACATCATTTCAGCAGACGTCAGGTTCCGTGTCCATGCCCTTGCGGTCTGGATCCTGGGGCGCGATCCCGCGGATGCAGGGGCGCACGGACACGTCCCGTGCGGGGCATCCGCGGAGAAACGCCCCGCCTCCACTGGGTCGCGGCCCAGGTGCCCGGCCCGCGAGGCCGTGGATGCGGAGATGTGTCTGGCCCACGAAGGTCTTCGGGTGCCCCCCGTGACGCCTCCTTCGGCAACAACAGCGTGCTCTGGGGAGACAGGCGAGCCAGCGGCATGGGCGACACCAACACCGAGATGCTGGTGCAGCACCTGGACGGGGCCCGGAAGTCGATGTTCTCCCCCGACTCCCGCTCGCGGGCCAGGACGTCTTCGTTCAACCCCTCGATCAGCCTCCCCGACTTTCTCCAGGAGTGCATCCAGGTCTCCGCAGACTTCGAGCAACGCAGAGCTGCGGTGATGGAGGCTCTGATCAGAAGATGCCCTGTCGCTGACAGCTCCGCCGATTCGTCGCTGTGCCACTACGCGAAGTGGGTGCCAGGACAGCGGCGCGTCTTCTCGTCGGAGGCTCACGACGGCGGGTCATTCGAGTCGTGGGGCGCCGAGGTGTTTGCCAGCCTGGACGGCGGCGCGCTGACGCACCCGAAGGAGCTCATCCGGTCTCTGGGGCACGGCGCCCCGCCCTATACGGAGATGTCGACCAACTCCAAGTCGGGAGAGTTCTTCTTCTTCTCTGGCGACCGGCGCTTTCTTATCTCGAATAAGAGAAAGCAGCATGAACATACGTTTTCCGAGATTCGCGCAGATTTCTTGGATCGGCGCTGGACCCCTTCAGTGGCGGCGCCGACCCGAGAACTCTTCGCGGAGCTCCGAAAGCTCATGCTTATGTTTTTTTGGTTTCGATGATCAAGACGATAACGCAGGCCGAGGCCCAGATATTTTACCGCATGCTGCCAGGATACCAGGCGCACCTGCGGCTCGGCAGCTCCCTGATCGTGCGCTACGGCGGCCTGTACCGCGCACAGATACCGGGGGGCGGCGTGCGCTACTTCACGGTGATGACGTCAGTGTTCGACACCGCCTACAAGGTTCGAGTAATACAAAAACCGGGACACGCCAAACACCGGGACACGCATGAAGTGTGGGAGCTCCGCGCGGCTTTCTCGGATCTGCGCTGGGCCCCCCGCGCGCTGGGGAAGGGGGGGTGAGAGCAGATCGAAGAAATCCGCGAGAAGGCTCCGAAAGTCTATGATTATGCAGCTTTCTGTTCCGTGAAAGGTGCACGAAACGTTTGATATCAAGGGCTCCACGTTCAACCGCCAGAAGAAGCCCAGCGAGAGCATCGGCAAGGACGAGGACTGGATCCAGGCCAGCCAGAGGCTCCGCGTCCCTCACGGCGTCCGCCGCAGGCTCCGCGCGGCCCACGAGAGGGACGCGGGCTTCCTCGCGGCCAACGGGCTAATGGACTACTCGCTTCTGGTAGGCATCCACCACGTAGGCTCCGAGCAGCCGCGCGACGGTGCGCGGCTCGGGTGCGGCGGGGACGCGGAGTCCATAAACGGCGGGCTGGTGTCGGCGGACGGCAAGCACATCTACTTCGCCGGCCTGATCGACTTCCTCATCTTCTTCGGCCTTAGGAGCCAGGGCAGCCCAATCGACGGGGGCAGTGAGGCCCGCTGCGCTACTCACTGGGAGAGGGTGGGCCAGGCGAGGGGGGAGGAGCAGGAGAGGGTGAACGAGGTCGAACCTCACGGTCGCCGTTGCCTCGCCCCCTGCCAGGAAGGAGATGGAGAGCCTCATGCGTAAGGCACAGGGCCACGGAGAGGACGCCTCCTGCGTGAACCCGATGCACTACGCCATGCGGCAGGTGGGCTTCATCCAGGACCACCTGGGAGACGACGGAGTCTGCCCAGCACCACCAGGCCTCCACAGTCCGCCCAGTCTGGGTCCTGGTCTCGGTGGGCGCCAGGTGCGCTGCCTGGATCCGCCGCCGTGCTGGAGGCAATCGGTAGCAACTCATGGGAGCCTTGCATGTCCTCGAAACTCCGTCTTTAGAGTGCATCAGCGTGCGCCAGCGTCTGGTAAGCGATGAGAAAGCGCCGATTTAGCGTCGACTGGCGTCGATCTAGCGTCGATACGCACCGATGTGCGTCGATCTGCGTCGGTTAGCGTCGGTCAGCGTCAGCTAGCGTCGGTTCGCACGAGCCAGCAAGATGACGTGAGAGGCTCCTGTGGGCTGCTGCAGAAACGAGTGGAATGGGGCGACACGTGTGGCGCGTTCCAGAATGGGCCTCGCCCTCAAGGGGTGTTGGGAGAGGTTGCCGCTCTCGGCCTGGGCGGAAGGCCGGCGGCGGCTGGCGGGGAACACATCGGGTCAGTGCAAACCAGCGTCAGCCAGGGTGCCGGATCTTGCTTGGTCCTGCGGAGCCAGGGGCGCATTGACATGGGCTTGGGCGCAGGATCATGCAGGATCTTGCGGGATCTTGCAGGATCCTGCAACGCCTGACCCGACCCGGGTCTGGATTGACCCGTGTCAGTAGATCCCCGAACAGAGCGAGGGCAGCTGCGCCGGCGGAGGCTCAGCGAGAGGCGGCGGAAGTCAAAGATGCGAGGTGGGGCTTTACACATAACATCCGCCTGGAGGATCAATTTTTGCGGACATTCAGTGGCGGAGGACATGGACATATTCGGGCCCACTGGGGCTCAAATATAATAATCCATATCCACCGCCCGCTGGGGTCCCACGACGTCCAGGCGGTGGATATGGATCAACCCCCTCCTCGCAAACGATGCGCCCCCCAGGAGACGGCACTCTTCTGGGCCCAAGGGTTGCTGGAGCCGGCCAGGTGGGCGCATGCGACCCTAGGGGGGGGGCGGCACTGTAAAGGAGGCTGGGCAAAGGCGAGATGTATCGAGCGTTTGTCCGCGGCCATTTCGGCTCAGTGACAGGCCACCTATTCGACTGTGCCTCTCTGAGGCGCACTGCCATACGTCGAGACCGAAAAAGGCATCATCACTTTCGTTTGAGATGTATCGCCGCTCCCGCGGCTCACTCTTTCCTTGTGGGACTGTCGTTGATACGGTACAAAAGGGTTGGACGCATGCTTCGCCTTGGGCGAGGCGTCGGGTTGGGCCTCCCGTCCAGCTTCAAATTTGGCAGCGGAGCTGGCCGTTGGTTGTCAGCTCTAGCTCTACTCTTCACTATCCACGGCACTATCTGGTGGACTACCGACATAGTGGAACATCAGGGTGAAGTGGCTGTACGCGAAGGAGCTCCCTACCATTGCAAGGACATTTGCAGTGCTGCATCTGCTTACGCGGAGGTCTCCTACTTGAGCCCTACCTCTCAGCGCTACTACACTCCTGAAGTCCACCCACTTACGCCAACTTGCAATCGCTTCGAATATGTTACGCATGGTAACATGCGATACGATATTGTGCCGCCCTTACCCCCCCCCCATGATTACGGCGACGTCACCTCACAAACAACCTCCACATACAACCGACTCTGACCTACGAGGCCATTGGATCGGCATCGTCATATTTGGCCTTCTATGGGTCGCCATCGGAAGTGCTGTTGGACATTTGCAGCGTGGTTGAGACGACACACGTACTACCGGCCCCCATGGGGACCCTGCCGGTAGTGAGCCTTTCCGCGATTTCGCTCGCCAGGCACATGCCTGGATCAACGCGGCCTAGACAGAGCGACGTTTTCGGTAGTGGCTTACACTACTGACGGGGCCCCAGAGGCTTCATTTTACGGAGCTGTTGCCGCGAACCTCCCCCAGACCTCCCAGGCTGGGGGACACATGGGCTTCCTGGTGCTCCAGGAGGCCCTCACGAATCCTTCGGAGACTTGGGTGGACTGCGAAGCGGTCCTTGATCAGCATGCTAGGCCACTGCCAATTCGTCTCAGTAGTAAGTTAAAGTACTCGGGCCTGCACAAGCTCGCGCTTGCTCAAAACAGTAGACACCATGTGCAGCAGGCCATCAATATTAAGAGTCATCAAGATATCGTAGCTCTGGCTGGAGAGGCCAAGCTAGCAGCTGAAATCAATGCGGCAGCCGATGCCACAACCAAAGCGGCCTGCGCCTCATGCCACCCATCATTAAACCCAGCAGCGCTGCAGGATTTGCAGTGCACAGTCGAAGCCGCCAGAACTGTTGCCGTCTATGCACCGAGTGCTCGCCCTTTGCCAAAAGAATAGGCATAAAAGCGAGAGAGCCGTGCTGCCCTCTAAGGTACAGGCCTGCGGAGTTGTGCACGCTTGCGAGGTTCTCGACGGGCCTGTACCTTACAGGTGCTCGGCCTGTTTTACGTTTGCCCGATCATATGAAGCAGCTGTTGCCCGCGAGCGGCAAGCTTGCCGTCCACTCGAGAGCGCTTACAGGAAGGGATTGGAGGCCATTCGTGCCTCACACCAGATGGCGATTGCGGACTTTCCAGACGCGCCCATTCTTTTCTGCCTTGTTTGTGGGCGCTACACCCAGTACGTGATTAGAGCTCTGCCTGGCAAATGCCCAGGCACCCCCCCCCGAAACAGGGGGCGCGTGAACAGACTTCTCGCTGGCAAGCATCCCATATCGCGTGCCGTAATGTCAACACCGGAGCGGTACAACACCGCTGATATTCAGAGGCAGCAGCGACAACAGCGAGAGCGGGTGGCAGCTCGACTCGCTTCGACGCCGCCGCCGCCGCCAGCGCAGCACCCTGTCCCTCGCCCACAAAGGAGCGAGGCCAGACAGTTGCGCCTACTTGCGAGTTCAGGAGACTCTGGCTAGGCCCGTCCTGGCCCACTTCCGTCCCTGGGCGGCATGCTGTGGGCCAGTGAGGGGCCACTCGCCTGGCGGTTTCTGTCCTTGGTCCCCGCACGGCACGCCAAGGCTCCGCCAGGCCACCCCGGAGGAGGGTGAACTCGGCCATAGCTGATAGCGACTGGCCTGTAGTTGGGGGAAAAAAAAGGAGGAGGAGGAGGAGGAGGAGGAGGAGGAGGAGGAGGAGGAGGAGGAGGAGGAGGAGGAGGAGGAGGAGGAGGAGGAGGAGGAGGAGGAGGAGGAGGAGGAACATGAGGGCCCTCCGCGCAGGACAGCGTGCTGGAGTGCTACGTCCAGGACGACAGCGTGGAGAGTTTCCTCCAGGAGTTGGGGCCTCCCCAACGGGGTCCGGGCAGATAGGACCGCAGGGTCGCGCCGCATCGCCGGCACCAGCGACACCGGCGATGAGTCGGCGCCGTCGGCGTGGAAAAAGTCGGGCTCCACATCGAGACGCATCGCCGATGCATTGGCGATGCGGCGCGGTCCTCTGATCTTCGGCCGTGGGGCCTCCACCGCCGCGGCCAGGGGCCGCCGCGGCCGGGGGCCGCCGGGGCCGGGTCCTCGGCCGCCGCCGCGACACGCTGAGCAAGAGTTCCTGGCCGCGCTCTGACCCCGCTTGGGATGCCCAGGAGGGCGGGGCCCCCGGGGCCCGAGGCGAGGAGCTGGCGGCCGCGGGGGGCGTCGGCGCCCTGCGCGTCGTGGTGGTCGCCGCCCAGAACCTGCGGAACGCGGACCTCCTCACCCTGTCGGACCCGTACGCAGAGGTTCGAGGAGCAGAAAGCGGCCTCTGCTTCTCTCGGAGGTCCTCCCGCGCGGATCTCCTCGATCGGCGCTGGGCACCCCTGGCGGCGCCTCTGGCGCTGCCCCTGGCGCGCTCCGCGCCTCCAGGGGCCAGGGAGAGAGGTCCAGCGCCAGTCCAAGGAATCCGCGATGACCTGCGAGAATGTGAGTTCATGCCGTTCTGCGCTCCTCTAGTCTGGCGAAGAGAACTATGCACATGCACCGATCCTGGCGAGGCCCATCCTTGACCCAGGATCGGTGCATATGCCTTCCTGGGCGTATGCACCGATCCTGGGCTCAGGATGGGCCTGGCCAGAATCGGTGCATGTGCATAGTTCTTTTTCCTCTATCTAGAGGTGAGGCTCGGCCTCCAGAACCGCAGGACGCCGACGGTCAAGGAGCTCGCCCTGCTGTCCCACTCTCCGACCACGCCGCGGCCGGATGGATGGATGGACGGACGGACGGACGGAGTCGTCGTCGTCGTCGTCGTCGTCGTCGTCGTCGTCGTCGTCGTCGTCGTCGTCGTCGTCGTCGTCGTCGTCCACGGGCCCGGATGGACCTCCAGGGCCCAATGTCGGGCCCCAGGGCCATCAAGAACGGACCTGGGGCGGAACATTCGCCCCGGGGAAGTGGTTGAGACCTCGGGGGCTGCGGGCTGAAAGCGTCACATCGACGGATGTCTGGGTTCCGGCCCCTGCTCTTTTTTATGCCCCTGCCCGTCTCCCTGGAAGCAACCGCGACGGTCAGGGCCTCCCAAGTGTGGTCCGAGTAATGAAATGGAGTCGGGGGATCGCGCCGCACCGCCGATGCATCCTCTATGCTTCTCGATGTGGATCCCGACTTTCTCCACGCCGACGTTGCCGGTGCATCGCCGATGTCGCCGATGCCTCGTTGATGCATCGGCGATGCGGCGTGATCTTCCAACACCATCTACTTTGACCCCATCGGGATGGCCTCTAGATTCTTTTTCCCGCTCTAATTTATCTCCCTGCCCGTCTCCCTGGAAGCCCCTGGCGCTTGCCCTCTTTTTGCCCCGTGGTTGCCCTGAGACCTTAGCGTCGACCACGCTATGCAGGCCTCCTAGAAAGGATCTGCGTTAGATGGGGTTGGGCGATTGCGCCGGATTCTCCATGACGGCGTCGCCAGTGCATTGCCGACGTCGGCGATGCACGGGCGATGCATCGATTATGCGTCGACGATGCGGCGTGATCCTCCGACCCCATCGACTGGCCCCATCTGGGAGGACTCTAGATTCCCCCCTTCCCCGTTCTTTTTATCCCCCTGCTCGCCCTCGTGTCTTTTCTTGTGGCTGCCCTGAAGCCTCGAGAGTCTCGACCGCGATGGGCGCTTGCGACCGCAAGCTGGGCACACTAGCGGGACCAATGCGCCCCATAGTCAGATCATTTCAAGTCATTCTCCGTCTCCGTCCAGTCTGGCGGCTCTTGCCAGCAGCGCCATCAAGCCATGTGAGCGTCGAGGCAGACGCTTCGAGTCTAATAGGACCGAGTTTCATTTCCTTCTCGTTCTCATTGTTCATGTGGCTTACGCCAGTCCGCCGACCCCCAGCAGAAGTACCATATTGCGACGTTCGTGGAAATTCTTTTGCAGCCTTCGGCCCAACCCGCTACCGTGCCTGGGCTTTTTTTCAGAAGCCTCTCAGATGCATCTGAGGGTCTCTCGGGATGCCTGTCGGGGGCCTTATGGAGGGCTCTTGTGGCCTCTGGGGCGCCTTGTGGCCCTCTTGGAGGCCTCTTGGTGCCTCTCTGGGGCGCCTCGGGGGCCTCTGGGGCGCTCTTGGGCACATCAGAGGAGGAATGGCTCGGAATGTCAGCTCGCATTCCCCCTCTTGGGCTCCGGCGGAAGCGTTGGCGAGCTCGTAGGCTGCCCCCCCCCCCCCCCTGCAAATTGGATTTTGGACCCCAGTGGAGGGGAAAGGGGGAGGGGGACAGCCAATCATCTCACACGCCTGTTCACCCCCGGCAAGAGGGGGTCGGCGGATCCTTCTCATCGTTCTTCCTGTATGATGCTTGTTTATTTTTCCTTTACGCATCATTGGTTTAGTTTTTACGAAAGGCCCACTCCATCCGCGAAGTGCATTTCTGGCGTGAGGTCGTGCCGGTGCGCTTCCTCCTCTTCCTTATTATTCTCCTTGTCCGTGTCCTCATCCTTCTCATGATTCGTCCTCCGTTGTTTCATCTGGCTGCTGTTCCTCGTGGAGTCTTGGTGTTGCTCCGCCCTACCTCCTCAGGACAACCTGAATCCGGAATGGAACTGCAGGCTGCTCTTCGCCGTAGACGAGGCGCACATGGTGACTGGTTTCGAGGTGGAGGTGGCCATCTGGGACGAGGATCAAGGGAGTGGTAGTGGTGTCTATAGTCGCAGCAATGGTCGTGGGGATGGTAGTGGTAGCGCGTAGTAGATGGGGTTTGAGTTCAGTCGATATCGTGTCGCAGATACGTAGTAGGTAGTAGGTCCTAGACAGTATGCGTCAGGCAGAAGTAACCGTGATGGTGGTAGTCGTACGAGCTGAGGGACATTTTGGTAGCCCCATTGGTTTTGCATTGATTGTTGCTTTGCTTGTGTTGCTGCTTGTTTGCTGCATGTTTGCGTGAGTGTCTGCTGTTGCTTCTATGTTGTGCTGCTTCATTGTTAGGTTTGCGTCAGCCTCCATCAGTAGGACGAAGGACGATACGACGGAGGAAGAGGAGAAAAAAACACGAGAGGAACAGCCGAAGGTGAGTGTCTCAAAACAATCGGACAACAAACACAACAAACCATACCATTATTCGAATATGTTTTCGAAGCAGTGCTTGCACTCGGGTTTTTTTTCGATTTCGAGCCCGTAGTATTTTCCTCCCTTTTCCCAGGTCCTCCACTGACTCCTCAAACTCTCCCTGTTCCTCTTCTCCCTCAACTTCCGATTCATAGGAAGAACACGAGACAATATTACACCGTCTGCCTTCCCTGTGAAATGCTGACATTTCCCCACCAGTATTGATCGTTGATTTCCGTTCAGGAACCAATGTTGGCCTGTTCCGCACCATGCCTTAGCGCGCGCAACGCGCGCGTGGTTGTAGTAGAAGTACCATAAAGGGGGCAGGGAGAGGGATCAGGGCGGAAACGGAACGGAGATAGAAGAGGAGGAAACGAGTGATAAACAAGACAACGATGAGACAGCCGTGCATTCACGGAGGGAAATCGAGGACGAGGAGGGAGGGAGGGAGAGAGGGAGGGAGGGAGGGAGGGAAGGAGGAGGAGGAGGAGGATGTCGAAGAGGAGGAAGAAGCGGAGGAGGACGAATAAGCGGAGGAGGAGGAAGAGGAGGAGGGGGAGGACGACGAGGAGGAGGAGGTGGAGGAGGAAGAGGAGGAGGAGGAGGAGGAGGAGACGGAGGAGGAGGAGGAGGAGGAGGAGGAGGAGGAGGAGGAGGAGGAGGAGGAGGAGAAGGGCGAGGAGGAGGAGGAGGAAGAGGAGGGGGGGCGAGGAGGAAGAGGGATGAGGAGGATGGCCCAGGACAGCGTCAAGGGAGTGCAGGGCGACAACGACCTGTTGGGCCGGCTGCGCGTGCCCATGGAGAGGGTCATTCTCCCACCCCCCCACCCTCCCCACAGGGAGGAAAGGAGGGAGGGATGGAGGAAGGAGCAGGAGCAGGAGCAGGAGCAGGAGACAATTTAGCCAGATCGAGCGAGTCAGAGGGCCCCGCCTAGCCCCACCCTCGCTCCCACAGCATACTGATCAACTGCGGCACAGCTCGATGTTGGGATTGGTACGCGCTCCCAGCGCGCCAACGGAGGGCGCACGCGCGCGGCCCCGCTTCCGCCGACCTGGTGAATGGGGAAGCTACCAGGGCCGCGCAGGGGCGGGAGCGGCAACAGCCTTCCGATGGGCGCGGCGAAGACGAAGCGCGCGCCGCGCTGACGCAGCATCGCCACTCTCGCCCGCTCCCGCGCGGCCCCGCCGCCGTTGCCGCTGCCACGCGCGTGCGCCGCGCCCGCGCTGGAAAGCCACTCTGGACCCGCATGCGCCCCGGAGCCTGGGCGAGGCCAGCAAGTCGCCGAAATCGCTCGGGCGCCCCAGCACTGGCGAGGGACAAATCTGTGCCCCGTCGGGGCGGGGACGCCACCTTCGGGCGAACGCCGCGCGGCGCCAGTGCGAGAGCTGCCTTTTTTCGTCCGCTCGCGCGTCGACGAGGCTGCATGCGACAAGTGTGCGCCGCCCCTCCGCGGGAGCTCACGAGTCGAACAATCAGCGCGGCGACGAGGCGAGAGAGACGTTTAGGCCCTTCGGGCGGGATGTGCGCTCCGCCCACCTCCTGACACACTCCAACCTGGACGACATCATGCACAATGTTGGGGCGAGCAACATGGATTGTTGTATGAATCTTTAGACACGCCGGATGGGACCATCAGGGTTAGGTTGCTATCGGCCGGCTAGCAGCTAGGTGGCAGAGCCAGAGGAAATCCCAATCAATACGGAATAGGGATCAGGTTAACCAGGTCGAACGAGTCAGAAGGTCCCCTCGCCCTCACAACATCATAATCACTTGTGGCACACGTCGATGTTTGGATTGGTACGCGCTCCCACCTTGAAAGCGGGAGGCGCTCTTGCTCCCGCGCAGGTGCAGGAACGGCAAAGCTTCCGATGAACGCGACGAAGGCGAAACATGTGCCGCGCTGACACAGCACCGCCACTTTCACTCACACGCTGCACAGCGCTTGGGCGAGGTCGGCATTTCGCCCGCTCTCGCGCGGCCCCGGTGCCGTTGTCGCTCTCATGCGATTCGACGAACGGGCCGTGTTCCGCGCCCGCTCTGGAACGCCATTTCGGAACGAGATGCGCACGAAGCTTGGGCGAAGGCGACAGTTCACTCGCGCGGACCCCTTTAAATTGGCGAGTGAAATCCATGCGCCGTGTCGAGGCGGGAACTCTAGTTTCAGGCGAAATCTGCGCGACGCCAAGGCGTGAAGTACATTTTCGCCCGCTCCCGCGTCGACGAAGCTGCGTGTGACAAATGTGCGCCGTGCCTCAGCGAGAGTTCAGGCGACGAGGCGACGAGGCGAGAACGACATTTAGGATTTTCTGGCGGGATGCGTGCCCCGTCCCATTCCCGCCGCGCATTTTTCAACCTGGCCATAATGCCAAATGTAAAAGCGAACGCCATTTCCCGAACAGAGCTTGCACCTAGGGTTGCTTAGTTGTTTTCGAAAGAACTGGGCTGGTATGCCGCCGTGGCGGCTATATGGCCGCCGTCGCTGCTCCGTCGCCGCCCGTCGTTTGGGCCAGTGTAGACCGCCGTCGCCGCCCCGTCGCCGCACGTCGTCTCGGCCTGACGGCCAGTCTGGCGGCTGTGTCGCCGCCGTCGCCGCTTGTCGCCGCTTGTCGCCGCATAGATTGCTTCGTGTTGCTTTGCGTTGTCTTGCATTGTTTTGCGTTGCTTGTCGTTGGTTCGGATTCTGTTCTGCGTTGGTTTGGATGGTGTTTCTTTACGCGACTTTGTATGGCATTGATTTTGATTATATTACGCTGATTACATCACATTTGATGCACCACATCCCTGGCTCCACAATGAATGCGCAACATATATTGCACAGAATTTATATATTGCACAACATGTATTGCTCCACTTTGATTTTTTCCAGAAGAAACTTCGGATCCACCACCTTCCCGACGCCAGAATGATCCGCTATCGTTGGGGATGTGCGGTTTACGTGCGATTCACCCCCATCGTTTTGTTACACACGATGTCATAGTATCCCAGCCAAACCGGGTCACCCTCCCACCATCCACGTCGAATAACATATCCGCGCGCACTCGTTGATCACAAATCATCGATGTTCAAGACCCCTTCTCAACACATGCAACAAGGTCTACACGCGCGCGTCGTCGCGCGCGCATGCTGGAATCCTTCAACATAGGTTTCGTCAAGATTTCGATCCGGGGTGCCCAGAACAGAAACATGTAAAACAATCAGTGGCATTGCAACATTTTTGCTGCGGAAGTAGACGCCGTTGTTTGGAAACTCAGGAACGGCAGTTCCAGTGGGCCGTGCGAAATCCCTGGGGAATTTGAGCAGGCAGTGGCGGAGACCACCGACGGACTGCAGTGATTCACGGACTTCTGCAACGCGTGGTGGCTCAGGAGCGAGACTCCGCGAGACATTCTCACGACCAAAGTTTCTTCTATGTGCAAAAAAGTAATGTAGAAACATGCGTTAATTATCGCCCGAGAAGTTTGGTTTGTGTTACACGTAGGATCTTCGCAGGTGTGATGACAAAGGCTGAAGGAAGCAAGCGCCGAACAGCGGTTGACTGTCACCCAGTTTGGCTTCAGGTCAGGCAGAGGCACGCAAGACGTGATCCTCGCAGCAAGACGCCGCATTGACCAGGAACTTGCGGCTTAATGAGGGCGCGCTGGTCTTCTTGCGCTTGATTGGAAGAAGGCGTTTGACTCCATCAACGTATACGCAGTGATGGAAGCCCTGGGCTGGTTCGGCCTGCCCGGGCATTTCCTGAGCATGACTCGACACAGATATTCAGACAGAAAGTTATCGGTTATTGGGATGGCTGACGATTCAACGGAGAAGAGCAGCGCTCTGGCATCTCGCAAGGTTGCCCGCTCTCGCCGATCGTATTCGTCGTGCTAACGACGATCGGTATTCACGACGCTACACATCGCATGTCGGATTCACCCCCGCAGCAACTTAGTTCTGGTTCCTTGGATGTTCCGTTGTAAGCGGACGGCTCCTTGTTGTTCGGTGCGGACTCGCGATCACTGCAAGAGCTTCTGGACAGCATTGCTCATACCGGTGCCCAGTACGGCATGTCGGTGCACTGGTCAAATTTCTAGCGATATCAGTGTGTCAGAACTACAACCTTCGATCGCCGACGGGAGACGCCATCCCCACCAATGACGCAATGGAAACCTCGGGACCGCCATCCGTTCCGACGGAAACGTGGGCTCGGATATACATCGCGTGGGCAATGGATAACTTCGGGACCAATGCCAATTTCTGCTTTGCGGCAGGGTGGCGAGGGCGCTGGAACGTGATGAGCTGCGCAAAAGGATTTCCACTCCTCAGAAATATGTCCGGAAGGTGGGGCGCCCGCGGGGTGAATGGGCCGGCCAGCTCGCGAAGCACGTTGCCATGGTTGAGGGTGACGTCCACGATCAAGCCGATGAGAGGGCCAGAGTGAACCGGCATTGCGTGTGTTAGGAACGTCCACGCGCATCCTGCGTTTGACTTGTGTGTGTGTGTGTCTGCGCGTGTGTGTTTTGCAACATGGTTCACCAAACAAGTTTATGCGCGCGCTCTTGCGGATTCTCGCGAAAACCATCGGTTTCTGAACAAGTTCACAACGTGCGACCAAGCGGGCCTCTCGCGCGCAGATGTCGAAGTCATTTGATCGCCACTGCGCGCGTGCCGGCGGGGGGGGGCGGTCCTGGTCAAATAATGCAATGCGGGCCACTCGCGCGCGCTGGCCTTGCGCGCATGTCGACATCCTTCCAGAACCTTCATTGTCGACGCGTAGGCACCATCGTCGCTGGCGCGATCAGCGTCGGCCCCGTCATTGGCCTTGCCGTTGTTAGCGTCGTCTTTGTAGCCAGCATCGCTACTACCATCATCGAGTCTGCCATTGCCGACGTCGCCATGATACTGCTCTCGCTCGAGTCACCGACTCGCAGTGAAGTGGTGCCCGCCGCCGCCGCGTCTTGCGTGCCGCGCTGGGAAGGCCCCGGCGGTCAGCGCCACCGCGGCCGCGTCTGTCGCGCCAGACTAGCTGGCCGCTTTTCGCGCGAGCCTGCGCGCGCCAGCGCGGACGCAGCAATGCGCCAGCCAGCTCCGAGCATTCATCGCAATCGCCGCCGCGTGGGATTTGCAAACCAGGTTGCGGGTGGGTCAGCGGGCAGGATGATTGTGCTTGCAGCTCTAATTGGTCACTCCAAGTTCGGCAAGATGAAGTATGCCACGTACATTGCTCCACAGAGATTGCACTATATATATAGAGAGAGAGAAATAAAGAAAGAAATAAATAAATAAAGAAATAAAGAAAGAGAGAGAGACAGAGAGAGACATCTATATATATATATATATATATATATATGGAGCCGCCAAGATCAGTTGCTGTCGGCCAGCTGGTTGGCAGAGTAGCAGTATATACTAGCAAGTAACCAGGATCGGAGTCAGGTTAGCCAGGTCGAGCTAGTCAGAGTGCCCCCCCGCCCGCTTTTACCGCGCCTCCGCGATTTGGATATTTGGATTGGAGCGCGCTCCCACCTCGCAAACGGAAGGTGCTTGCGCGCGGCCCCACATCCGACAGCTTGGCGAAGAAAAAAACGACGCGGGCCGCGCAAGAGCGGGGGCGGCGACGCTTTTGGTGGGCGCGGCGAAGACGAAGCATGCGCCGCGGTGACACAGCATTGCCACTTCGGCCCGTGTGCCCGTGTGCCCGTTCTGCGCGGTTTTTGGGCGAAGTCGGTAGTTCGGCCGCTTTCTCGCGGTCCCGTTGTCTCTGTCGTTTTCATGCGCTTCGTCGAACCAGCCATGAGCGCAAGTTTCGGGCGAAATTTGCGCGGCGCCG